ATCGTTCCAGTCCGTGATGACTTTGCATCGGGGCAGCGGTTTATGTCGGTTATCCACCTTTTTAGGAAATCTCAGCAGCTTGATCGGGCATTCGTTTAAGGCTCGTATGCGGTTAACGTTGATGGTTGACTCAGCCGGCTCGTTCGCCGTAGCTGGATCATCTCTTACCCGCTTCTCTCGCTCTTCGGCCATCTGTACGAACAGCTGCCACACTTCGACTGCCGGTTCTTTTGTGTCGAACTCCTTCTTTATATCTTCGCAGTTCGGGATCTCATCAAATTCTTCATCGTGGCATGTCGGACCTTCAATAGGTGCCCTCGATAGTGCATCCGCGTTATCGCAGTACTGTACCCTAACCCTGCACTTGAAGGAAATTTGTACGCTATGAGCGACACGGTGCTGTATAGCCGGATAAACATTCAACCAATTCACGTTTAAGCACGCACTAGATGCAAGCCGTGTATGTGAATGGTGAATGGGCTCGTACAAGTGCGTGTGGCTGCACTGTACAAATTTCCTTCAAGTGCAGGGTTAGGATACAGTACTTTCCCGGTTTGTACTCGATCTTGAATTGATGACCTTGTAATGCCATCGCCCATCTCGTAAGTCGCGGATTCATGCCAACTTTGTTCGTTTACGATCTCAGCAGGTTCGTCAGTGCTTGGTGATCTGTTCGTACGGTGAACTCGGGGTAATCGATATACGATTTGAACTTTCTGACGGCAAGCACGACCGCCAGACACTCCCATTCAGTTACACCGTAGTTCCGTTCAGCTCCATGTAAGACGCGGCTCGCATAGGCAATTGGATGACCTTCTTGTGATAGTACTGCTCCAATTCCTTCTTTGCTTGCGTCGCATTCGATTACTGTTGGCTTAGCTGGTTCAAACTTCGCTAAGACTGGTCCTTCACACAGCAACTTTTTCAGGTTATCAAACTCTTTTGTGTGAACTTCGGTCCATTTTTTTCTCACATGTTTATCGTTTCGCAGCAGCTCATATAAGCGGCAGATCTGTTGTGCGTGACCAGCTATGAACTTCCGATAGTAGTTCGCGAGTCCGAGAAACGATCTCAGCTGTCGTTCAGTCTGAGGTCGCTTAAATTCCGATACTGCGGTGATCTTTTCGGGATCCATACAAACTCCATTTTCACTGAGTATATGACCCAGGAATCCCATCTCCCGCATTCCAAATTCACATTTTGTCGGTTTAATGGTGAAACCTGCTTCAACCAGACTTTGAAGGACATTCCTCATATTTTGCATGAAAATCTCCTAAGTCTTTCCAGCGATAATGACATCATCGATGTACCTAAAGACGCAGCCCTTTTGCTTCGCCTTGGATGGAACACGATCCGTACAGAGTTGAAAGTTTGAAACGTTGCAGGTCCATTACAGACTCCGAATGGCATCCTTTTAAACCGGTACATGCCATCTTGCGTTACAAATGTCGTTTTGTTGATCGATTCCGGATCCATCGGTATCTGCCAGAATCCACTTTGTAGATCCATCTTCCCGTAGTACTTGTTGCCTGCACATGCATCTAGCAACTCGTCCGGATTCGGTAACGGATAGTTGCTTTTCTTTGTTAACTCGTTCAACATGATGTAATTGACGCAGAATCTTGTGCCCATGGTCCCGTCACCATTCTTTTTCGCAGCCAGCACGACTGGGAAGCTCCAATCGGCATCTGATGGCTCAATGACGTCCTGCGCCAGCATCTCTTCGATAGGCTTCGTTATAAACTCACGACCTGTCCAACTAGTTCTGGCGGGGTTGCATTTAACTGGTTTCGCATCTCCCGTATCGATTACGTGGGTGATCCCTTTTACATCGCCGTATGGTTTTTTCGATGTGGGTAGCACCTTCCAGAACTCCCAGAATGCGTTGTAGACATCATTTTTCTGCTCCTGCGTGAGATCAGGTCCGAGTTTCAGATTTCCGATGATCTCTTTCAGCTCGGCTTTCGTTGTGTCATCCACTTCAGGATCAAAAAGCACGTTCCTTACTGTGCCGCTATTGATCTGGACGTTCTCCATATGGTCGTATGGCTCAACGTAGCCGAGGAACTGACCTTTTTTAACAACCTGCCGTTTAATACTGTGGTTAGCGATGACCAGATCAAAGTGCTTTTCTCTATGATCGGTCACTCCTGCTAATGGTTGCACATCAGTTTCCACATGGAAAACAGGTGTGAACATCAGCTTTTCTTTAGCTGGTACGAATCGTCCCATTCTGACTTTTACACGGGGCAGACGGATGGTTTCAAGATGATCTTTTGATCACTGTAGACTCTAATGGTCTCTCTGTCAATTTCATCCTTTGCAACTTCGTTCTTCTCGCTTTGATGTCCTGCTCCTTTTCTTCGTCTACTTCATCATCTTCATCGAGATCGAGCAGGTCCTCTTGATCCGAGAGATCGTTTACACCCGAATCTTCTGAGGTGGTTGAGTTGTCACTTGAGCTAGTCCAATCTGAATCTGAGTCGCTGCTTTCATCGTTAGCCGGAGCGCTCTTATCAAGTGGTCGTTCATCAACTCCATCTTCTTCAGATGAAAGGTCACCTTCGTCACCCTGAGAATCGCTAAGTTTTTTCGTTTGCACATTTTTGAGCAGAGGTTTGCCCGTTTCTTTTGTTTTTCTTCAATATTTTGCTGCGATTCTCGGATGGCTGCGCGTTACTCGCACTTTCGGTGATGATCTCCGTTCATCTGAGTTCGATCTCTGATCATCTGGAACTGTTCCTTCAAGTTGATCGATCTCTTCCAAACTCATCAATTTACTATTCTCGACCGGCGGACCTTCCTCACCAGTGTCGAGTGTATTTCCATCTCTTTTTGCTTCTGTTACTGGGTATTTTTGTCCTGCTGAGATCTTTTCGAGCCCCTCTTTAAACTTCTCTCATATTTCATCTCGATTCGTTAGCATCTGTGCTATCTCATGAGCTCTTGGTGACCTTTCATCATCTGCTTCGATCATCTCCTCATCTGCAACTTCTTCATATCCGATAGGTCTTTTAGTTCCAATGAAGACGCAATTTGCGTTTAAATCTTCAGTGAGGAGTTCGTAATTGGGAGTCATCTCATACATGCACCATTTATCATCTCCTCGTTGAGGGTATTCAGCTCCATTTGGAGCTGGTGCGAAGGTCACCTTCTTCTTGAGTGGGTAACCAGCTGGTCCAACTTCTTTTCGTTTTCGATATACTTTCAGTTCAAGTATATCTTTATCTGGCAATGGAGGAAATTCTGCTTCCAACTTTTTCCAATACTTTTCAAAGGATTTTCCATCTCCCTTCTCCAGCGCCTTGTAGAACTTCTCGAAAAGCTCATATACTGGTTTGCCAAGTCCGGTTGGGAAAACGATCGTTGTTCCTTCCCCCTTATATAAATGGTTAACGCGGAAGTCCCAGAAGAGATCCTTTCTGGCATTTTCCCACATCATTCCTTCGTCAAATACCTCCTCCATCTCTCGGTTGAGTTTCGACTGGAGCTGCTTGACCTTCGAGTCTGATTCTCCCAAGTCCAAAATCGAGCTCTCCCAATGAATTACCGATCTCCCTCTTGTTATGATGAAGTTTCGGACGCAGGATAGCCATTCCTTATATCGCTGCCAGTAATATCGCTCAATGTGCTGATTCCACATCGAGTTCGTCCGACATATGTTTTTAACTTCTTTTTGGACATGCTCCTTCATGTCATCGATCGCTGCGTTGCATTTTGGCCAGTTAGACTGATCATCCTGATGAGCATCTCGACAGCATTTTTCGCATCTCCATTGAGGTTGCACTCGACACGGGTTCTCATTATAACCGTGATGACAACTGCTAATACGTTCTTCCGGTGTCATCTTATAGAGGCAAGCGAACGGTTTGGTACTATTATCGTCTTGTTCATTCCAAACACCATATCTCGGTGTCTCTTTGAAGTCAGTCGGCGAGATGATCTCCGGTTCTTTTTCAACTCGATGATCTTTCAACTGTTCGATTGCGCCATCTCGTATGTCACTTAGGAGTATCTGTTCATCTTCCGTCATCTTTTTCGGAGCTTCTAGTTCCTTTTCGAACTTCTTGTCGTTCCAAACTTTGGCAACTTTTATTCCCAGTGCCTCTGGTACTGGGATAGACTTTGCCCACTCCATTCCAGATACAAGAGCTCGTTTCGCTTCAGCAGCTGCTTCCTTTTGTATGGCTGCTATCTGCTCCATCGTTAACGGAGTTTCATCTGTCGCTCCCAGTGCCTCTGGTACTGGGATAACATCTTTATCAGTTCCCTTTTGATCATCTCTCGTCGTTCCCGGTGCCTCTGGTACTGGGAGAACGACGTTTGCCCGTTCTTTCGGTTTCACTGATGATCTCCCCAATCGGGTCGCGATCTCCTTTTGGATGGCTGCCATCTGTTCAATTATCGACAGCTGAGCAGGTGAACCTCCCCTTCTTCGGTTCATCATCTGCGTTCCCAGTGCCTCTGGTACTGGGATAGCCTTTTGATCCGGTTTAGCTGCTCCTTTTACAAGTCCGGTGACCTTTCCAGCTTGAACTTTGACAGCTGATTTCGGTTCATCTTTAACTTCCTCCTCCCCATGATTATCAATCAGAACGAACTTTGTCGCCAGAAAATCATGTCCCAATAGGACTTGTACATCATCTGTTTTCGGTCGTACATAGAAGGAGTGTTGACTAGTTCGTTTCCGCAATGTTACTGGTGCTACGCAAAAGTGCGTCACATTGAAGCCTGATGTCCCGCTGATTCCATTAATCCTCACCAGTCGATCTGGTGGCAGCGGTAGAACATGAAGTCCGTTCTTTTCACAAAACGGTCGGCTGATCAGTGATGTTTCCGCACCGGTGTCCAACATCGCCAAGACCTTTATGTCACCGATTTTCACCTCATGTGTGTACGCTTCGATCCTTTTCGGCAAGTTGTGTTTCGATCCATTTTGTACTTTGAGCGTACGGACAGTACATTTAACTGGGATTAGTGATACAGGTCCCGGATCCATATCAACTGCTGAAGAAGACACCTGCCCGTTCGCTAAGGTGCTGTTTTTCTTCAGCATCGAACTCAGGTGATCGATCCTATGTGGAACATCAGTTCGGATATCGTAAAATTGTCTCTTCTTTCCATCTTTTAGGCTTTTTATCACCTCACACCCCTTTTCCTTTGCAGCTTTAGCATCGCTGACGATCTTTTCGACTTCATTTAGTTGCCCCTTCGCAACTTCCATGTGACCTTTGATCACCTCCGAGATGGTCTGACGCAACGTCGCATCGTCTGGTTTATCACGCAGATGCTCAATGAGCTCATCTGTGATCTGGTCAGCTTGTTTTAGCTCATCTTCTTCGCTGTCTTTCAGCTGATCTGGTGATCTCTTATATGTGACCATCTCATATCCGTTTTGGGCCATCCAGTCAATTACCTTTGCAGATACCTCGTTATTCGTTTTCGTCGGATCGATCTGCGAAGACATTCCATCTGTTCGAACTGGTGACTTGTCATTAACATCTCTTTGCAGGGCTTCTGTTAAGTCCCGTGACCTTTCAGTTGGTTTCATGGAGAATCCGCCGCTCGGCAACTTTTGTAACGGAACATTTTCTCCGTAGTTTGACGGTTTAATAGCTGGAGGAGCATTTCGGTTCTGATCAGCGAGTGTCTTCTTATACTCCATCTCGTTGAACACTGGCTCAAGGGTTCATTGACCCTTGAGCTGGTTTCCCGGTGACCAACTCTTCGAAGCGCTTTCTCTCGAACTGCGTTCGCAGCTGATGCATATCCCAGTATTCTTCGTTTGACATCCTCGCTTTCTGAGATCCTTTCGGCGATACAGGTATCCACATTCTGTGGTTGCCATCTGGTCGATATGTCACCTTTTGCCAGATCTGCTTCCGCTGCAGCGTAAGTGCATCATCCAGTGAGTCATCGGAGATCTGTTGTGCTCGTTCCTTCGTTGTGCTGAAGTTGCCGTTCCGTTGGCCACCGTTCCAGTTTCCATTTCCATTTCCGTTATTTGCCCTTCCTTGTTGAGGTAACACCCCTCCATTCAGGGGATTCGGCATCACATTAGCCGGAGCCACCGGTCTTGTCTGCGCCTGCGCTTGTATCGCGGCGACCATGGCGTATGAGATGGGCTGCCCAGTTTGGCTGTCAATGAAGGTCATCTCCTTATGAGTTGGAGTTGGCGATCTCGTCTGATATTCCGCCTGAGATGGTGTAGCTGCATATTGTCTCTGTGCCATCTCAACTTGTCCCGAGCGGATGGTTACGTAATCCGGTTGATTACGTTGACCTTCTACCACTTTATACTTATCCTCGCCGGCTGCCCATGATCGGAAGAAGTCTTTTATCTCCGTCCGCGTTCTGAACCCCTTCGTCTTCAGCGCCTTGTACAGGTCGTTATCGACTCTGCATCCATCGATGAGGAACGCAACTGCTTGTAGTTCGGTAATGGCTTTCTTCGCTTTAAATTTCATGATCGCCTGGTAAAACTGTTCGAGTGTTTCTTTTCCAGGCTTGAACTTCCTGGCCATGGCTTCCCGTAAGCCAAGGACTTCTTCGTTTCGATCCCCGAACTCGTCTCAACCATTCTGTGACCGTATAGACCTCCTCTTCGGCCTCTTCGATGTCTCTTTCGCCGTCGAACCAGATCTTTGCTGGTCCTCTGACAGCACTGGCGATGTCAATCAACACCTGATCATCAGTCTTATCATATGTCCGTTGTGTCTCTTTCACCAGTCGAATCCATCCGCTTACCGCATCGCGGTTGCCGTCGAAGGTCGCGAGATCAGTTTTACGGCCCATGTTCTTGATGGACCTGTTGAACTCCCTTGTATCGCGATCTCCGTCTCGATTGTTTCGTTGATTTCGTTCGTTTCTGTCATTTCGTTCGTTGCGGTATTCTCTGAAGTATCTTCCATCGTGTTCGTGTCGGGGAGAACGTGCATCTTGATTTGCATCGTCCTTGACCGCTGTTTCAATGGGCTGTTGGAACTGTGAAGGGTCACCGGAGCTCATATGTGGCTGGTGACGGAGGAGCTCATACCTGACGGATTCTTGTTATCGGAGGTTTCCCCATCTTTTTCCGTTTTCAAGCCCCCTGTGCCGCCGCCCGTTCGCAGCGGCGTCTCGAAATGGAAGCTCCCGCCCGCTTCTTGTGCCTTACTATAGCCGGGCGGGGGCGTCTCAGTCACGTCTCTTTTCGTGCTGGACTGTGGAAGCAGTTCCTCTCTGTGCTTATTCTTATTGATAGGTTGAATCCTGTTACCTTTTACAGTGAGTCGTATCCGATTAGCATACAACTCACTGTAAGAAAAGGTGGCAAGTTGACTCGACAATACAGTATCTGGAGGCCCTTATTTTCATCTTCGAGTCGCTTAACCCTGTCGGTAAGCTGCACTTTTTCCGTCTTCAATTGGTCTCTCTCTTCTCTGACCTGTTTGGCATAATTCTGCAGGTTAATGTTTCGATCGTTCAGCTGCTTGTTTTCATCCCTCACTTTGATGACTTGTTCTCCCATCTGGTTCATTTGCTGTTCCAGTTGAGCATACGCATCAGCTTCCGATCTCAGTTGATTTCTCGATTGGGTAACTTCATCTTCCCTGGTCATTGCTGTCTGTGTCATATCGATCAGCTCCGTGTTGAGCTTTATATTCTCATCTGTCAACTCGCGGATCTTTTGTTGTCGCTCTTTATCTTTTATTTCAAGTGCTGTGATTTTCACATCCAAACGATCCGCTTCTTCTTCCCATCTCGAACCTTCTTCAGCGGCTTTATTGCCAGCTTCTTTGAGCTGCTCGTTCTCTTCGTTAACTTTCCTAATGTCATCTTACAGCCGCTCGCCTTCGGTGGCTAGGAGATCTCTCAGGTCATGTGCCACTTTGAGAGCATCATCAGCTCGTTTCTGATGATCTCCTGATTCCTTTTGGAGGGTTTCGATATTCTCATCTTTTATCTTCAGATCGTTCCTAAGCTTGAATACCTCCTTATTCACAGCTGACAATCGTTTGGTCGCTTCAGCTAATTTGGTCGCATATTCGTTCTGTTTCTCCTCAGCTTCATCTGCCTTCTTGCGCAGTTCATCACACTGATCTTGCAATTCAGCTATGTGACGTGACCTTTCGGCAGACTCCTCTGATAGACTCTCATTGAGATCATTAACTGCCATATATCCTTCCATCTCTCTGTCATCAGCAACGTTTACCGATTCCTCTGCGATCTGTTTCTGACGTTCGTATCGAACTTTCCATTCTTCAGCTGTGTTTTCGAGTACGCTCTGCTGTTGTTCCAGCTCACATATGCGCGTCTGTAGCGATCCCAATTTGTTCTGATACTCCTGTTTCCTTTTGATGACCTGAGCCTCTTTTTCTTCCAATGAAGTTTCAAGTTCTTGACTCGTCTTTTCAGGCTCGAAGTTGGGCTATTCGGAGATGGTGATCGCACATTGACGATCTTTCCTGTCTGATCCGTTCCGTTCAATCAGACGTTCGGGGATGTCCTCAAGAGGTGTAAGTCCTTCAGCTCGATCCGCTTGTTTCATTGCGGTTCTGAACGACATGTTCAATGTCACCTCATCGTCAGTGATGTACGATTCTTCGTTCCCGCGGTTAGACATCTCATCAAATGCCATTGGGCTCTCGAAGAGATCCTCAGTTCCGGTTTCGTCGCCAAGTGTGAGATCATCTAACCTGAGTTCATTGGGATCGTCCGATGTGATCTTTGACTGCTCTTTGGGATCGGTTTTAGCCAGGTTCTCCTTCTTATCCTGGACTGTTGCATCCTTCTGTGTTGTCAGATCCGTTTCCGTTGCTCGTTCCGAGCTCGTTCCTTCTTTGGTGACCTCCTGGTTCACCTCACTGCTTCCCGCCGCAGGCGCGGGAGATCGTTTGAGATCGTCGCTGGAGCTCTCCTGACCTGACACTGCTTCGAGTGCCTTCTGGTAGGTCATATCGGAGCCTCGAGAGTCCTTCCTCTCAAAGGCTTTAGGTGCTCGAGTAGCTCGTTCATGTACAACTGGACGTGTGTACGAGTTAAAATCCTTCACATAAGGATTGGGTGCGCCTTGCTTTGAGCCTCGGGAACCTCGGCTCCCCTGGCTGCTGTTAGATGTCGGTTCGATGATTTCTTTGTCCATGGCGATCGGATAACTGAGACGCACCTGTTGGTTTTGCTCACACACACGTTATAATGAGATCGTTTAAGTCCCTGAGGTCACTTTCCAGCTGATCAAATTCGATCAAGTTCGGTTTTAAAGGTCACTTTTTGAATAAAAAGATCGAGAGGTTTGCCTCAGAAATCAGCTCGTTCAGCTGCTAATATCAATAAAACTGTTAAAAAGATCGTTTCCAGTTCGTTCTGATCTGATGTTAAAGGTCACTGACGATCTCGATCTGATCGATCTCCGAGATGGTCACTTTTTGGTCAACTCGTTTCGATCGCTGACAGCTTCTCTTGGATGAAGTTAGATCATTTACACTGAGAAAAGTTCGATTTGACTGTTTGGGAGATCGTTACGAGATCGTTTTAGTTCGATTTTACCAGTAAAAATTTCGACCAATCAGAGTTCGTTTAACTGACCAATCACGTGTGCCCGTTAAAATTTTCTGACCGGCCTGACGTCACAGATCGACGGCCAGACTTGCGCGCCGTGTGCAAAAGCTACGCCTATGTCTAGCTCAGCTCAGTACCGACCAATGAAAATTGCGCTTTTTACGCCTCAACCAATCCGATAATTAATAACGTATTTTACCTGTCTACCGTTCCGATCCCGTAAAAGATGATCCAGATGATCTGGTTTCTTCTCCAGCTCCGATCCCGCGCAGCCGTATTCCGCACGGTTTTGGCGCCTTCCTGTCCGACCTATTCTGCCTTCTGCTGGGCTTGTCAAGCCTACCAGCAGGTCGCTCTACAGCCGATTTGGTGGAGCGCGAAAACTGATCTCTTGGCACCTCCTTCGGTGCTGCCAACTCGTGGCTTCTCGGCTCTTGTGCCCGACAGCCTTGACCCCAACAAGAGGTGCCCGCTGCCTAGCAGAGGAAACAACACGAGTTCTCCGACAGGAGAAGCTCGCACCGCAGCCTTCTGCCGTCTGACTTGAAGCACGATGAGTTCTCCTACAGGAGACTCTCTAATCAGTGCTGCCGTAGATGCTGGCAATCCGATCGATGAGTGCGCCTTGCTGATTCAGATGAGGAAACCAGTGCCTTACTGGTGTGAGATCGATAGTGATCCAGATCGATGTGGCCGTTCGCCAAACAGATGAATGTGGCCGCTCGCCAAACAGATAAACAACTCAGAACCCGTCTGTTCACGGCTCTGCTACCATATTACCGTAGACTCGATATGAGTCCAGGACAGCAGCGCAGACTGACAGGACTCTGTGTTGTGTAGAACGTTACTTCCTACGGGATAAAAGCGCAACGCTCGACATCCAGTATACGTCATACACTTTATTAGCGTTCTCGATCGAGGATCAAAACACACTGACGTTCATAACGCTCAGAGAGCCAAATTCCATCTGCTCTCGGCAATACCAATACACTGCGCAACAGTGAACACAATGAACGGCTGTAGCCGTCAACCAATCAGAGAAGCGCTGCGTCACAGACGGCAATTCCCCACAGAGTAGTGCAACGAAGCACTCCAATAGCGTCACGAAGGTGGACGCAGGGTAGCCATCGCCTCACAGCTCTATGGAAGCATCCGCGGGATTGGGTTAGCACTGTGTGTGAACGGTTACCGCCACTGACGGTGCTCATTTTTATGAGAGCTGCACCAGCCGTGATCAGTGCCGGTCTCATAGTCAAAGAAGAACCCATCCCGCTCCGATTAAGTAATGCTAGGTTTATATTACAGAGTACAGTACATACAAACATATTCAGTTAAACCAACATCTATATTCTGTAATTCTATTGAAGTGTATCACACACTCGAGTCGCCAAAGAAGTTAGCTGTGATGAATAGTACTCAAACTGGTGCTGTTGACGTCGCCCCTAACCCAGGGGCACCGACGGGCGGTAACCGTATACGTCCAATGTTATAAGTAGGGGCGCACTGCCCCTGGCCCTTAACCTGCGCCCGGGCCGGGTTTTATATAAAACCCGCGCTATAGCAGCAACCTGCATATTATACAGGAATAAAGCGCTGCAGCATACAGACGCTAATTCGTCTTGCCTCATTCTCTCTCTCGCTCTCTGTTTGTACACTTATACATTGCAGCCAGCAGGCGGCCAGCAAGCAGGCTCAGTTTCAGCGGTTCAGTCTCTCTCTCCCTCTATTCGCTCTCACGTGCATGCACCGAATGCACTTTTGCATTCATGAATGCATCACTGGACATCTGCTTCACGCTCGCAACACGGTGCATAGTCAATCAGTGATAAGAAATCGATTTAGCATTTATTCCCATGCTCTTCACCCTGCAAATGTTTACAGTTATTTTTCATTTTTTATCCATTTAAGAGGCGCCCTGTATGTTGCGGTTGCTGTTTTTGCTCTTATCAGAATTTCATATGCTAACACGTTGACTTGTACGATGAGGTGAGTGAGAATGTGAGCGCCAGCGCGCCATTATGCATGCATTCATTTTCAAGACTGCCACATATGCAGTGCATATCTTCATCATTTTACGAAGAGAAATACTTGCGCATGTTATGCAGCTTTTTGTAAAGATGCCGCAATTAATTACGCAGTTAATTGTCACGGCAGCCGTAATAACAGTTTGTGCTGCCGTTGCATTGCAGCAACCTCTGTTAGCAAATGCCCACGGTCCCGCAACATACATCCCCTGTCCCTATTTCTGCGTTTGCCGTGAAACATTTTGGAAATGTTCCGACAGCAAGGCAAATCTGTGGCCGTTAGACAATCAGCCAACCGCGATCGTGAAGGGAGTGCAGATGCTGGATATGACCGGATCGGATGTCAACGTTCTCCCAACTGGCCGCCAACCCACAACTTCCTGATCTGCAGATGATTTTTCTGTCTCAGACTGTGTTTGACGGTTCCCGTCGCTGTAGAGAGTTGGAGTGTCTGGAGAAGTTGGGACTGCGAATTATCGCCAACCGCTGCCCGGCAGGTAGAAACAGTTAATACGCACCAGCAAAGGCCCTATTATGAATGTGCCAGTCAAAGAATTATATTGAATGCTAGTTTCCTGATAAATATGACATAAATCGAACAAAATTGTTTTAACGGATATTTCAGATTTACGCAGTGGATGTGGATTTCTCCATGCTGTTCGTGGACTTCCGCTCAACCGCCTTCTCAGTCGCCGGTCTCGACGGTTACTGAGTCTTGGTCAACCACCGCAATTCCTCGGGATAGAGACTCGAGCACCCGGGCCATGACTCCAACCGGCGCTGACGCTAGCGGTAAGACCACAGCAGCAACAACACCTTTGTCAGCGGCAGCAGATGGCGACACATACAATATTAGTAGCGTGACTGCCGCAGCAGAGGCTGTTGCCAATACTACATCAGTAATAATGGGGCAAAGTACAGCAGCGTTATCATTATTGTTTTCCACTACTGCTACACCGTTGCCGTTGACGCGGCCGCCGCTCCCGTCCACTGCAGCGGCTATCACTCACCGGTCCACACGACGATGGACATTGACCACCCCCACCACCGCCGTCACCACCACAACAACGGCAGGCGGTGGCAGTAAGCTCGTGAGTGATCTGCCAGTGGTTATGCAGCCGCCTGACACAGCGACTCCTCATTGGCAACAGTCAACCACAATGCGCAACCTCGTGACACCCCCTTTCACAGCAACTAGATTTTCGAGAAAGACTACACCATCAACAACGTCGTCATCACCTCGCCCGCTCACCACCACCCCCACCACTACTGCCCATAGCTTAAGCGTTACCACCACGATAACAACAGCAACACAAGGGCCTAGTGCAACGGCGAAGGTGTCAACAAAAGCCATCAGTGACGGCTTCAGACCTACGGTTCCGTTGTGGTCGCCATTGGTGTTATGGCCTACGACAACGACGCCGACGCCAGTTTTCATTAACGCTAGCACCAGTGCCAGGCTTCCGCTGCACGCGCTGACATTCATACATAATGACAGTAGAGGCGACGGGGCAGCGGAAATCATGTTCTAACTGATTCTAACGCAACATTGCTGTTGTCATCTGCTGTGGCATCCACCAGCTTCGACTTCAGCAGCAGCGAGACCACCACCACCACTGCAAGCACTACCGTCTCCACCACTACCACCACCAGCACTACTGACACCACCACGTCCAATGCATGTAATACTACCTGTCCGCCTTGTATGCTTGCAGGAGTGAGGTGCAGCGTGGACTGGCCGTAGATCCGTACACTGTAGCTGGCATAACGGTCGGCATCCTTTTCCTGATCGGCCTGACTGTGCTGTGTATCGCGTGGAAGCGTGGTTTTCGTGTCGGTCGGACTGTCAACAGTGCCCGCAGCCATGATGTCGGGGCAGCACGGCCGACAGCTCCCCATGGTCGCCAAAACCGCCCCGAACGAGATGCCGAAGCCGGTCGTGTTCCACCCCACCAGCAGCCCCGAACGCCAATTTTCAAAAGAAATCGCTCGTCGGTATCGCCTTCGCGATCACAGCATCACTGGTTTTCACCAACAACCAGCCGAAGCCCGCCTCGTACTCGCCATATGCCGACGCCACGTCCCAGTCCATTCGCGTCCCTCTTCGCAGCGCGTCGACACACAGACCGCCTGTCTCCGGTTCGCCCGCATGAGGCCGTAGTCCATCACAACCCCGAGTACAATGGGCTGCCGCGGAACGACGCTGATAACATGCACCACCGTGACCATAGCCAAGACGAAAGGATTTACCAGAACGTGGACCTTGGCGGCAACAACCCAATTCCAGCGGACGGCGGTGAGTTTTTGTATGTTATCAGTATTCGATAAAATAAATATTTCCGTTTGTAATTAGGGCTGCAAAATCGCCATCCTATAAATCTGCTGGATTTTGGCTACGAGAGCAACAGCAACAGCAACAACCAGCACCACGGCGTCAACGACCAAGTTGCCCAACCTGATATTCCACCAGGTAAGGATTTTTAGCAAGCGCGCCTATGACAAACCACGCAATAATCTGTTTAATTCACTGTTTCGAAAATCGGAACCTCTCGCAGCCGAACCACTGCGCTTTCTGTACACCGGGTCGAAATTTTATCCTGTATTTGCCCGGGCGACAGACGACCTACATCGATTCCCGCCATGCGATGTGTATCCCAATGAAGACCGCATTCTGGAAACTGGCCAAACGGAGAGCCCACGTTCACCATCTCCCGCGTCTTCTGTTGGCTAGTAGCACAAAATGACTTTTCAGTTTATTGGCTGTATGGTTTACGATTGTTGTTTTTGAAATTCTTGAACTTCCTTTATTTGGCTATTTAGTTTTTAGTGACCTGTGATGGTATATACCCAGGAATGATATCAGCAGCGGCTTTTTTTCAATCACTGTTAAACGGACGTGCTTCAGTTTTTGTTAAAACATAAATAAACACTTAAATGGTCACCAGATAGTCACTTCAAGTGGTAATCAAGGAAGTTGGGAGTTTACAGTCAGTCAGTCAGTCATTCAACGTATGGGCCACATTTTGTGCATTCAAAGTAATCTTCTCCATATCCAGAAGCGGATGCACTATTCTGCACCGAATCTCTTCCATCTTTCAGCACTCGGTTACGTGCTCCAGATCGATGTTGCGTGTACTGGCCGCATCGAGAACAATGCAGTTGGCAAAAGCGGCGTTTTTTCTGCCCACATTTAATTCGCCTGGCCTCCAAATGGCTGAGAAGTGTTTTCACGGTGATTTCAGCTTCGGGAGGATTTATTCGTTTGACACTGGCGATGGCTTTCCGTATTTCCTCCACACTAAATCCATATTTTAAAGCCCGTGACACCACAAAAGCCCGAACGCCATCGTCGAAAAAGTTCTCATCATAAACCGACACGAACGAAGTTGTTTCTGCTCCGCCACTGCTATTACTGCACTTCTCGTTTTCATCGCTACCAGGTTGCTGATGTCGGGGACGGGGAGTGAGACAGGAGAGCTCCTTATAACGGTCACGTACAATTTCGCCAAGGCAGGTAGTGATATACAAACAGCTCGGGGCATCCCGCGTATGAACGTGCCATGGCACATCGTCCGGTGTCCACTGACTGAAATGCAGACCGCAGTGAAAACATTCCACCCCGTCCCCTGTACCAGTATAGATAAATCCCGCCCGGGCTAAATCCAGAGGTGTTTGCAGTAGTTGGGAAGGCCAATTTTTAAAAGATCTCAGCCTCTCATAAAGTTGCGCATTTGTAAAATCAAAAGGGCAGGCCACTGTCAATATTTGGCCCGCTTTGTCGGTGGGATCGGGCTTTCCCTGTTCCTTGTAGCGTTTTCGTATCTCAGCGCACCAGGGTGTACACCGAAGATGATAATCCAGAGGATCTTCTTTACCGGCCAGTGTTACATCTATCCGCTTGCAGAACAAACAAAAATACGCCTCGCTAATATTCACGGGCCGAAATCCCAGCTTTCCGAGTGACTTTATCGAATGGGGCGGAAAATTGTCTGAGCAGATTAAACGATATAGTCCATCATCATCACTTTCCGTATAAACACCAGCTTCAAAGCTCTCATATAACTGTGTGGCAGCAGACATTTTGCTTTCAGGAAATAAGCGATACTCTGACTTGCCCGATGACTACTGCTACGTCCTTTTATACAGCGCATACACACACTGCTGCTTGTTGTTATTCTGACCTACAATATACTGGGCGGGAAAGGGAGGTTCAGTAGGCAGCGGCCAAAGTCTGCTGACTGACCGCCTCCTCTCATCCTCGCGTGATCATCCACTGTTGATGATATCATTGCCATCTGCTACCATTCTATGAGTCATGGCACTGGCACATAAAAGCCAAAGCCAGCCAGAGTTTAAATCTGTTTGTTGGCAGAATCAGTTGGCAGTTTATCATCTTCACCACCACTATGGCTCGGAATTTATCCAACAACCTGGAAATTTACACGAACAAAAATGCCGTCGACACGGAATATGCTCGACTTGTTAAGAACAGCCCTTTTATTCTGATTGTAAGTATCAGAAGCCAGGTATATATAAGCGTACTGTAAGCACATTAGCATTAGTTGTGCTTTCAAACCGAATTTTATAACTGAATTCCGAAATGACCTTTCACGAATACATCTTGACCTACTGGCGCCAGTATCATGGCAAAGCTTTACTGTTTCTGATTTTAATTGCCCAGGTTACAACAATTTGTATGCTGACGCGCAGTCAGGTTGCAATTGGCGCGTTAGCTAACCGTACAGGGACAGTGTTGAATGAAAAAGGTTTTCTTATAAGTCAGTTTATTAACGATACGCTACCTTTGCTGAAAAGTTCACGGGCATTACTCATTCGCGGCGCTTTTGACTTTAATCGGTTTTTCGGAGAAGTTCTAGCTTATGTTAGACGGAATGGCAATAATCTGATACTGCCTGCTTATCGGTTGAATATCGCGGCATTGCCGTCGACATTTCAGGCAGGAGCTACAAGACTCGATATTATTCTGTTTCCCATTGAATACAACCGGAGCAGTACCTTTACCTCGGATGAGCCTCAAGTTTTGAGCTGTGCATATTAATATATGTTTTTATATATATATTGACAAACCTCACATGTTGCTTGTAATGGAAACAGGAATTTACCGGTCGTGTTTTTCATGTTTTAGCACAAACCTACGTCCATCATGCTCAGCTTAAGCCTCTACCAACCACACGAGCCGCGTATCGATCTCCGCCTGATCAAGCACATTCCACAGGATGATTCATATGCTGCCACTCGCTGTGGATTCTATTTTCCCACCAGCTATCTTCCTGAATTTTTGGCCGCCGTAAAAACCCTAGCAAGTCGTGTCAGTGAGTGGGAGAAATCAAACGCGTTTATGCGGCCATTGGCCTTGCAGCCTGCCTCGTCTGCCTCACGTAGTAGTAGCAACAATAAAGCCTCTGTGATAAAAAGCCGCGGAAGTGGCAAGGGAAGCAGTAAAAAGAGAAGCGTTAATATCTTTGCCAAGGCGGCCGCGAAAAAATTTTTGCGCACTTGTAAAGGTGGTGATGTACGTGGTGATCGTGGTGGTAGTGCTCGTGTTGGTGGTGGTGGTAGTGTCGAAAAAGATGATGTTGACTACGATGGTAACGTTAACGAGAGAGCTCTGTTAATTGATGACGACGATGATGATGATGCTAATGATGATGACTATAACGAAGATGGCGACCGCCACGATCAATGAATGAAAGAATAATTAAATGATGCTTTAAAAACGACTTCTGACACTTTCGTAATAAAGCGATTTTTTATTTGTTATTACACACAGAAGAAGCCTACCAAACAACAAGAAACGTGTAAAATTTAAATTAAAATTTCTTCATTCTCTACAGTCATCCGTTCATTGCTACTATTTTCTCGTTTTTTTATTTTGCGTTGTCTTTTTCTTGAGTTTGAGCTGCTACTACTCCTATTCCTGACTTTATTCTTTCTTTCGCTCTTCTTCTGCTTCTTTTTGTTCTTGTTCTTCTTCTTCTCGGGTTTTTTCGTCCTCTTTTTCTTCAAACAATTACTGCGGACAGCCCGGGCATTGACGTTTAAATGACCCTGTTTCCCAATATGCTTTACGGGAACGAGAGCATATTCGTCCATAGTAGAATTTGTGATCGCATAAACTCGCTGGTAATTATCAACACTCTCGCTAACAAATTTCCCCGCACCCGCAAAATGTCGGGCGTGCAACACTTGAAATCCAAAAATAAATAACCATAATCACGAAGCGTGGCAGTTTTATACGCTTCCATGAACTGCGTCGAGCACCGTGGATACATTTGCCGTGCAAGTATTTCCATCTGCATCATGTCTCGAGGCTGTTTCCAAAGCACGAGATAATGAGCATTCAAAGAAATTGTACGCATAAGGGGATTTTGAAAGAATACATTTTGCACTGTCAAAATGACAGAGCGGTTCAAGTGATGAGTTCCTCTTGTGAAAAGAGAGACCACGTTTTTGTTTATTTCCTGCATCTGATCGTCCAGAATAATCAAGGAAGGGTCGTTTTTATTAGTGAAGCTTTCTTCCGCAATATCTTCAGGAATATTTTTAATAAAAACAACATTTTTTGTATGTTTTTTAATGGTTTTAAAACAGGAGATTCATAAGAGTAGATAAAGTACACTTTCTTTGGGAATGGGGTAATTTTGCGCAGCTCAAGCAACCGGCATATCCAAAAGGTTTTACCTCCCTGGCTCTGGCAGCTGCAGACCAGATTGAACGGGTGAACAAGGAGCGGGTTAAAGTTCTGTATGGTTTCGTACATTCCATCTGGATGAACTGCAGCTGTAGGAGAGGATTAACAAAGGCATTGCTCTTTTATATCTTATATCCGAATGGGAGCGTTTCATAACTCGGAGTGGAATTCAATATTCTTCGCTTATCGAATGTGAATCGGACCATTTTCGTTTCCTCCCGCGTGGTCAGCTGCCAGGTGCCTCGTATACGAAAAATTTTGTACGGGTTGAGAAAATACTGAATTTCCTCTGGATTTCTGACCATCTCCTCCAGCAATCCTGGTGTAAAGAAATCGATGTTTCCTTTATTAATTGTTATTCCCTTTGCCTTGAAAACGGACATGCCTTTTTCGGTACGGTATGCGTACATTTTCGGGCCGCCACAGACGAACAAAGTGATTCTGTCATCGTCGATCTCCGATTTAAACTCTCCTAAGCATTCGCCCACGGGGAGGCTCGGCAGACCGGGTCCTTCCAGCGCAATCACACAATCAGTATCCACATATAACAGGCGTTCGATGCCTACAAAGGTCATGCCAGCATATAGCTCCAGACGCGCGTAACTAGTGACAAAACCGGCGATGATTACATTTGCGCGCAAATCAGTTCCGTCCAAGTCGCTTGACTTGGTGCTCTGCACCTGCAGAACATCCTCGTTAACAACATCAATGTAATTAACTGTATATTTTCCAGAGTAGAATAATTCATTGAACCGTTTGACGCTTTTGACATATTCAAAACTCGGTTTGTTTTCCTTGATTGCCAGCCTGCCCCATAATGTATTGAGCATGAGTTTCGAGAGAAGGCGTCGTGTGGGATTGAATTCCACCTTCCCCGGGTCGTCGACAACAACATTGTCTCTGTCTTTAAGCGACTGAAGGTAGGCCTGTTTTTCTCCATCGGACTGGCAGTGTGAGGGAAACCCGCTTGCAGCTGCTTTTTCTGCCATAAATGTGCTTATGTAATCGGCAAACAGATTTCCCCTCTTCGAGTAGTGCCAGACTTCATGAATTGCCAGTATACGGTAGCCTAAGGAGACTGCCAGATTAACTTCCGGTGTCGTATAAACACCGTTGAAGCTTCGCTCTTCGTCAGTGTGCGTGCAGGACGTTTCTTGGTTGTTTGCCTCTGCACACCGCCAGCACAGGGCGAACATACATTTGCCATTGATGCGTTGTGGAAGAAGAGGGAGCGGAAGATTGCTGGGCGGAAGCACTCTCACATGAGCGATTCCAAAATACTGATCAAGGGGCTTGAAATCGCTGAGGATTCGGTCAGGCAGCCCAAGAGGGTATTCTTTCTGCTTGCATACGGCAGGATAAAGGGAATTCTTATCTAGGTAGGAGATGTACCGGCCACTACTTGTGTCCGGCAGGTTAAGCAGGCGGAACGCCTCCGTCCGCCCACCGAACAGAACGTCACGCACATTCATGGGTTCGGTGTGGCAGAAACTTTTTAAAGCTTTTTTTATCTCCTCCCCTTGCCTCAAGGATTTCCATTCGCAGCTCCAGATACTGCGATAGGAATAGCCACGAGTTTCCAGGTAGCGCTGCTTATGCTTCGTTGCCTGTAGCAATTGAGCCATATTTTGATTCCCATTTGTTACCGCGTCTGCCGTGTAGCATTTTGGACACCTGTACAAATGTTTTATTGTTTTATCACTTCACAAGAACAAAAGTAACACAAACAACAACAACAACAACAACAACGTACCCATGAAAATAGCACCCATGGTACTCGAAAACCGTATTGGCTGCTTCGTAAAATCCGTCAACTTTGTAGCGGCCTATTCGTTTTTCTCCGTCCGGATGATTTCGAGCGTGTTGAATTTCAATGTGCTCGTTTTGCATGACAAAATGCAACCACTGCATGCTTTCGTAGGAGTATGTGCGGTAGGTCTGGAGATCGCGATAAGTAAAATATTGAATGCTGTCTTTCGGCATGAAACGAGCTCGGTACACGAGGTTTACATAGCCAGGGAGTGAAACCGACTCTACGAGCGGGTTATACCCTCCACAAAGTGCCTTCATACTTTCGCAGAATCTCTGGCAAGCCTCCCGCAGTACATGACAATCGTTGGTACAATATTTTAGGATCTCCTGAGAAAAATTCCACATTTTCCCTGCGGCAACCTCCGCGTCGTACCATTCCTTAAATTTTTTGTAGTGCTTGGTCTTCATCTGGCTTGTCAGGTAGTAGTGCTCTGATGGAATCTGTCCTACATAGTTGAAATGTTTTTCACGCGCAAACAGAAAGGGAAAACAGCCTTTGGCTGCGTTGAAACCGAATGCAGCCGGCATATCGGCTAAACTCATAGGCAAAAATGCAAGGGAATCTCGTAGGATGATATTATTCGCGGTTTCTTTAATCTGAAGAAACTTCAGACCTCGCATGATGACATGCGGCCATAAGTGTTTACGGTGAAGGTGCTGCATAATGAAGTTCCCGTCATATCCCATAAGGTTATGGAAAACAACAATGTGATTGCGGTGCCGTGGATGGAAAAGCCAATTGCAGAATTTTTCCCCGGCATTCTTCCGAAAAATCGCGTCGCTTTTCCGGCGTCATCAACGGCTACGGCAGCGATTGGGATATGATATTCTTTGCTTATATCACTTTCAAAGTCGCAGTAAAGAAACTGGCGTTCGGGCTTCGGCTTGCTCTCGTGCACTTGCACGTAACAACGATGGTAGGGATCAACAACAAGCTTGCAGCTCCGGCAATAATATTCGCCGCATTGGTGAACGGGGTTGGCCGGATGTCGCCCCTTATCCATGTAGATGATCAGGCTGCAGTCAGCGCACTTTCGACGGAGTTCACAGTCCGTGGTTGGTGCTGCTGTTGACGTTTGTGTTTTGTGTAGGCGGAAGCATTCTGAGTTTTGAAACTTCTTTGACAATCCCCACAAGTTATTTCTCTGTCGAATTCGCAATCCTTTTCTCTGGCAGTTAAAACAAGCTTTTCGGCATCGGTGCCGGTCAAGCTTGGTAAAATAGCCGTCGCAAAACTTGCACTGTTTTCTCTTTCCAAAAAATCGTGCCGGTTTGGTGATTGCCGCATAGTGATTGTTAGATAAAAGAAGATGCAAGCTTTTTGGGCACTTGATGCTTGTGCCGTTATATAACAATCCCGTTTCCGCATCAGGGCATTTATGTACGTACAGCGCGTAATTTGGAAGAAGTACGGCTTGAAAAGCCGAATAGTCACTGTATGACACAGCTCCGAGCGGTACTTTTGCTGCCTGGTACAGCTTTATTGCTTCCACTTTCTGTAGCTGTTTCCTGCTGTCACAGAGTTCTTTCCACTTCCTCTTGTCAACTTTATGAAGTTGTGACGCATGGGCAATGGCAATGGCTAGCGCTCGGCCAAAGCAGAGACTATCGTTGTTTTTTACGTTAACAATTCCTCCGCCTTGAGGCGCTTTCAAAAGGTTACGAAAATGGCGGTCTTGTTTTCTACTCTCGGTGGTGGTGGTGGTTGTGATGGTGGTGATGTTGGCGCTGGTTGCACCTGCGCCTTTCCCTGTCGGTTGCCGGGGCACGCGTAGTAGGTTAATGTAAACCGGTAAACCTAAAGAGAATTCCGTTTTCGAAGTTAGAGTATTTGCAATCAAGTACAGGAACATCTCTGCGTTCACTTGATCCTGTGTGGATAATTTAAGCTGGATGGGATGAGAGAGCTGAGATGACTCCAACGATATACTAATTAAATCTTCTTTGTTAGGCACAAAATCACGGAGTTTTTTGAAAATATCTTCCAAAACAGACAGAAAGACCGGTAGCACCGTGTCTACACCATGCAAGGGCAGTTCTGCTATTTTTATTTGAAAATTTCCCGCCCAGACACCGTACTTCTTACTATGGCGTGATGTAATGGCTTTGAGATTATAAAATTCAGATGGATTCTGTATGACTTTATTCACTGGCGAGGATGATGAAGGTTGTGTGGTTGTTGTTGTTGTTGTTCTTCCAGCGTTATTCGTTGTTGTCGTCGTCGTCGTCGTCGTCGTCGCCGTTTTCTTCGTTGTCGCGGTCAGTTCTTTTGTTCGCCGCATAAACAATTTGTAAGAAAAAGAAATGTGGCGCGTTTGACGATATAACTGTGAAACATCTTGAATTGTTCTTCGCTTCTCGTACAACCTGGCTAATTTTGCTTCGGCAATTTGCTGCGGTTTTTTGGTCGCCGTCGTGATCGTTTTTTTTTCTGAGACACGGTTGCTGATTTTCTTTGCTTGTAGTGGCCGTGGTGGGGGCGTCATGACAGACAAAGAAAGTGAATAGGAATGTGTTGGCAGCGCTAATCAAACCGCAATTTTGGTACTTCCTTTTGCTCCTAATGCAATTTACTCTGGCAATTGCCGGCAAAAGTACGACTAGCATAATAAGCCTGCGATAATGCACGATTGTGCACAAACAGCTGCTCTGCGGTGCTGCACGCGCTTTAATACCCTTGTCTGAGTCATGGCAATCATCAGCTCTTCCTATCTGACGCCCACCGGACATCCTCGTGGCGGAGCTAATTTTGCATGCACACTTAAAGCCCACCCAGCGCCCGCCCCACTACAGCTACTGTTTACTGCGTGTCAGTATATAAATTCCCAATGAATACAAATATGCGTGTCACTGCTTGTGTGCTCGTCACCTCGTCGGCGTCGCGCGTCTCAGTCACGCTGATTTTCTAACATACACGATGGAAGGAGCAATCACCAACAGCTGTCATGTACATTATAATTGCGATGCGCCTGATAACCTTGATTGGCTGTTTGATGAGAGTGATGAAATCAACGACTACGAAACAACGGCTACTACATTGTTAAACAACCATGAAAGCGCCCTGCTGCGCCAAAAGTACCAGATCATGAAGAGTATAATCATCAATGAACGGTATTTATTAGCCATAATGGGATATAATCATCGCGGCACAGTAAGGTGCATACGCTGTCAAAAAGAATTCTACTGGAAGCAAACTGACGCCATCATCACCCATTCGGAGCGGGAATGTCAGGATATTAAACCGTACCCTATGCTTAACACGGACCCCGTGGAGTGGCACAGCATCAGGCGCCGTACCGGTTACAGCAGGTTTCGAACCTTCAAGGAAAGTCCGGACGATAACGATATTGAATTTCTTATACAGCACGGTTTTTACCCTACGAACCAGATCCAGTGCGCCCATCCTGGCTGCACATGGATCGGTAAATGGGAAGAAATTGGATCTGTTAATTTTCTATGGAAAAAGAGTCACGGACGCAAGCATTGTTACAATGCTGCACAACCGTTTCTGTGGTGAAACGCTGTAGTTGTTGCAGTTGTTGTTTTTGATACGGATGTTGCTAAGTTGTTGCGGTGTTTGGTTTGTTTATCTGTTTGTTTGTTTGTATTTTATTAAATTCTCTTTGAATCGAAAATTTTTGACAAACAATTATTCCCATCAATAGAAACGAAAATTAATAAAATTCAAAATTCAACATTGGTGCTAAACAGCTGTTGCTGGTTCTGCTCTTTTTGAGTTTTTCCGACGTGAGCCTTTTTATACTCCGAAACTCGGCGCTCAAAAAAATTACTTTTGCCTTCCAGGGAAATGTTTTCCATGTAAGGCAGAGGATTAGCCGCGTTGTACAGCGGTTCGAGGTCAAGCATTTTAAGCAACACGTCAGCCACAAACTGAATGTACGTTTTCATCAGTGCTGCATTCAGTCCACGTAAAGGATGCTCAAATGCAGCGTCCCAAAACCGGCTTTCGATGTCCACTGCCTCGTCTACTAGGGCGTACACCGTTTCGTCCGGTAACTTATTGTTAAGCTGTCCATAAAGCCAGCATGCAAATTCTACATGCTGAGATTCGTCTCTAGCAATCAGCTCATTGCTAAACGTGAGTCCCGGCAGGATGCCGCGGTTTTTAAAATAAAATACAACGGCGAAAGCGCCGCAAAAAAAGATCATTTCAACGCATGCGAATGCCAGCAGTCTTTCGGAAAACGGCCGCTCCTTATTTTCTCTGATGTAACGAGTTGCCCAGTTTGCTTTTTCTATAACATTTTCATTGTTTATCACTGCTTGTAGTAGGTGCAAACGTTCTTCCGTGTCCTGGTAATAGGTATTAATTAAAAGTGAATATGTTTCACTATGTATATTTTCCATAAATATTTGGAAGGTATAAAACGCGCGGATTTCAGGACACTGGCTTTCAATAAGAAAGTTCTCTGCCAGGTTCTCCATTATGATTCCGTCCGACGCAGCAAAAAACGCTAACACATTCCCTAGTAGGGATTTCTCAAACTGGCTCAACGCTGGCCACTGACGGACATCATGAGAGAAATTAATCTCTTCAGGTGTCCAGAAGCAGGCCACTGACTTTTTATACATTTGCCATGCATCATCGATTTCTATTGGAAATAACACAAGTCGCTTCCACGAGGCTTCTAATAGCGGCTCCGTAGTAGCAGTATTATCATTATTATTGTGATCTAATTTAATGCTTTCAGAGTCGCCAGTTAAGGCTAACTTATCAGTGCTGCAGGTGTTCATGGTCTTTGCATGTGCGCATCTGTTTGCGCGCGGACATGCACGCAGCACATATATATATAGGGGACCGAAACAACAGTGCCGCCTGACTGCTGTTCCAATGTCACGCGAGTGCAAGCGTCGTCCCCAGGGACCTTGCACTCGTATGTTTGTGTACAGATGGACGAAAACTCCGCCCGCCTTTATCCAGACAGCAGAGCGGAGCCAGAGGTCAGTATATAAACTGGTGTGTGTCATCGCATTTAACTGATTTATTCGCATTTGATCGCTCGGACTGTTTATTCTTTTTTATTCAAGCTCGAAATTGGTTCGGGTTGATTCTAATGGCGTGCAATAATTTTTACGATCTGAGTATGGCCAGTTCTACGCAGCCGATGGCTAACAGTTTCTCAGCGGGAAATTCACTGTCGTTTGTTTCT